CAAGGTTTGGGAGCTCGGACCGGGAGAGTAAGGCCTCAGAGTCACCAAGCAGACTCCAGGGAGGTTTCTGGAACGCTTCCTCTTTATTCAGGAAATGCACAGATTTATATAGGGAACCACGGGGGAGGCGCATGGGAGGAGCATTTAACGTTTGGCAATATCTTATTGGCCAAGACATGGTGGAGTGATTTTTCTTGGGCGACGTGAAAGAGTCAGGGACTAGGGGCGGAGGTGTAGCCTGTTGGGCCCAGTATCTATGTACTTAAGCGAGTTAGCTCAGCCTTAGCAAGGTCTCCAGGTTACGTCAGGAGACAGGAGTGTGGCACACCTAGCCCAACCAAGGTTGAAATTCTTGACAGGCGGGAGTATTCACCTCTTTTGCCGCTGCAGAAGGCACAGCTCTTCCTCCCCGACAGGAGACCGCAGGACATTGGCACAGCTTGTCTATGGCTGTTCTCCTGCTCCTCTTGACCAATGTTGTCCAGGGTAACAGGCAGCGTGAGCTCAGGGTTCTGAGAAGGCAGTGGAAAGCTGGCCAGCTGGTACAGTAGACTAGGTACCACCACCCTGCAGCAGGCAAGGGGACAAGGTACCTTGGAGTCTTTCTGCTGGGGCTGGGGACAGAGCTTCTGAGGGCCCACAGAATGACAATCAGACAGGAAGCAGGGTGGTTGAGCTGGGCACAGACAAGAGGACTAGGGTCTTTAGGGGTCCCGGCCTCGACAAGGCTTTGCCTCTTAATCCAAACGAAGCAGAGACCAGTGGGAAGTGATGATGTGACCAGACCTGCCTTCCGGGCTGGGCTCCTCACACAGCACAGCTGCCATTCTGGGCCAGCTCAGTCCAGGTTTCGGGGGCTGGGAGGGGCTTCTGGGTATTGGGGTGCCCAGCAGCAGCTCCACAGTTGTGATAGCTGAGAATATCTCTAAGTTTGTACCTGGAGCGGGGGATCACCTTTAAAAGGATGGTAGCCACCAGAGCACTGTCCCTGTGTATAAAACCAGCATGGTTACTATTCGGGGCGTGCTAGAGCTCTCTTGCTGGGCTGAGATCCAGCTCCAGTGTGCACAGTAGAGCTGCACCTCCTGGCCTACACCTCAGCAGAGTTCCCACCAGCGCTTTTGGCCTGCCCACTCTGCCCCCAGCCAGGGCTCCACTTCGCTGACATCTGCTGTGCATCTCCTGTGAGCTGAGCTCTGGGCTGCAGGGCTGTGGGATTTGTTTCCACAGCACCAAATGTCTTGCATGTCATAGTGCTCAAGAAATAACTGAACTGGAGACTGAGGAAGGGAAATAGCTTAAGGAGAAAGCAAAACAGGCAGAAGTCTCTGTGTCCGGCAGCTTCAGAAGGAGCCCGCTCACTGACACAGAGGCTGCCGGGGGTGGCCAACTGTGTGGATGCCCTTCCAGCTCCAGCTACTTCTGGGGTGCCCCTGTCCAGGCGGGGACACAGAGGGCCCCTGCCTTTGCCCACTTTCCCCTGCTGTCAACCCTGTGTGCAAGGGGACGACAGCCCCCACGTCTGCTTGGCTTTTGAAGCACAGTCATTTTTAAGTTAAATTTATTTTTGACTGACAGGTAAAGGCATAAAAATTGTCCATACTTATGCGGTGCCAAGTGGCATTCTAACATTGTGCAGCCTATAAATCAGATTCTAAGCATCCACCTCATTCATTCTTTTGATGAAAACACCCAAATGTTTCCTTCTACCACTGTGGAACGTGTGGGACATTTTCCTAGTTAGCTGCACCCTACTGTGCACTATTAGCATGCCAGGACCCCCCCAAGCCATCTGCTCTGATCGATGCCGCAGTCCCCCAGCCTCTCGTAACTGCCATTCCTCTCTCCATGTCTGTGAAGGTAACTGTTTTAGATCCAGTGTCTCAGTGGGGTCATGTGGTATTTGTCTTTTGAAGCTCATTTCACTTTATTTCCATAAAGGACCCCAATTGTACTCATGTCCCAAATGACACAATTTTGTTCTTTCTGTGCTGAATGCCGTGCCATTGCATACATAGTGATGGTTAGGGTTGATGGCATCAATTTGATTGGCTCAGGAGCCACCAGGGGTTTGGGGGACACATTTCTGGGTGTGTCTGGTAGGTCATGGAGGCGTGACCTTGGGTGCTGTATCTGGTGCCTGGCCCCTTTCTCTGTGGCTCTGTTACCCTGCTCTGCTCTCCAGCCACCATGAGCTAAGCAGCTTCTCCATGATGTTTTTCTGCCTTGAGACCAAGCAGACCATGGACTAAATCCCCTTAAAACATGAGCCAAATTAAACCTCTTTTCAAGTTGGGTGTTGTATATTATATCCCACAGCAAGAAAGCTCACACACACATACACACACACACGCACATTCACATTTTGAATCCATTTATCAGTTGATGGACATGTAGGTTATTTCCATTCCTTGGCTGTTAATGAGTATCGCCACAATAACATGGGAGTGCAAATGCCTCTTCCACATACCGGTTTCATTTCCTTTAGATACATGCCCAGCAGTGGGATTTCTGGGTCATGTGGTCGTCCTGTTCAGTTTTCTGAGAAACATCCATGCTAGTTTGCACAGTGGCTATATTGTTTCGCATTCCCAACTCACTCCATCTCCTTGCCAGTACTGGTCACCTTTCGTCCTTTCTAACTGGAGTGATATGAAACCACCCTTCAGTTTCTGTCTGCATTTCTTCATGACTAGTGATGGTTACCATTTTGTCTTACAGCTTTGGCCACTTGTGTATTTTTTGGAGAAATATCTATCACAGTCTAATACCCTTGTTAAAATTTGATTATTTTTTACTGTGGAGTTTTTTGAGTTCCTCACATATTCAGGATATTAATTACTTGTCAAATGAATAATTTGCAAACACTTTCTCCCATCTTTAGGTTATCTCTTCACTATGTTGTTCATTTCCTTCACTCTGCAGAAGTTTGGTGTAATCTCATTTCTCTGTTTTATCTTTTGCTTCTGTTTTTTCTTTTTATCTTATTCCCATGCCAAAGTCCCAAAGTGTTTCCCTGATGTTTTCTCCTAGTACTCTCATTATTTCTGGGCTAGTTGCTTGTCTTGTCTTATTCTACTCCAGGTCCACCTTTAAACAGATTCGATTTTGAGATCACAAAAATTAAGAAAATATTTAGCAGATGGCATAGGATTGCAGCCTAACTTACATGACAAAACTTTAAGAATCTCTCTAATTCATTTTCAGTTGGTTTTTGTGACTAGTGAACAACAGTGGTTTGATTTCGTTCTTCCGCCTATGGATACCGGGTTTCCCAGCACCATTTACTGGAAAGACTGTCCTTTCTTTCTTCAGTGCGTATTCTTAGCACCTCTATCAAAAGTCGGTTGACTGTCAATGTGTGGTCCCCTTTCAGGGTCTTCACTCTGCTCTGTTGGTGTTTTGTGCCCTTATTCTGCTATTTTGCTTACTACAGCTTCATAATGTGTGTTTTGAAGTTGGGTTGTACAACCCTTCCTGCCTTGTCCGTTTTGCTCGAGAGTGTTCTGGCTAATTGGAATTACTTTGTGTAGAGTCTCTGATCACCTGGTGTTCATTTCATCTCCTCAGCAGTTTTTACTGCTTAAATCTTCAATATGTTTCTGGGCTGAGCAGCTGTGCTCTGTGACTCTTAATGAGAGAGGTCCCTCAGGTGGCCTGACCGAGTCCTGTCACCCATGGTGCCCTGTGGGTGTGGATCCTGGGGGCATGGGCAGTGCCAGGGAGGGGGAAGGTCAGAGGGACCCAGTCCAGGCCCCGCCTTTCCCCTTTCCCTCCCCTCCTCCTGCTCCTCCTCCTCCTCCTCCATCTCTTCCTCCTCCTCCGCGTTTCATCACCCCTCCTGCCTCCCCTCATTAGGTTTGAGTCAGTGCAGTCCCTTCGAGAGCTTTAAGCATAGAAGTAACATAATTTAACTTGTCTTTCACTGAGTAAAAAGCTGGACAGTGATTAGCATGTAAGGGTTGAACTTCCATCCCACCTCTTTCCACAGCAGGCCTCCGACCAACTTGAATTCTCAGCAAAATAGGGGTAACAGCTCTGCCTCCTCATGGGGCCAGGATTCTTGGGGTCTGGATTATTGGCGTTGGATCAGGGAGGATAACACACTTCACCCATAAGCAAAGTCCAACGGTGCAAAGATGTCTGTTATCTCTTCGGAATAATTATTAGCCTGGAACTTTGGAAAGGCTTAACATTAAGGCAGAATCCACTAAGTACCAAGGGGGAAGAACACATCCAGCATACATGGCCTTAGGTCCAGTTCCATACCTGTCCCAGGGACTCTGGCAGCAGGACAGGGGACGGCTCTGGGGAGAGGACAGGTGTCACTCAGGCTCGGTTTGCAGATTTGAGCACTTCCCTGGGGAGCCTGTGGGGATGGCAGGGAAGTCGGCTTCCTGCACCATTGCTCTGAAGCCTGAGCCTTGATTATGTCTTGTTAATACGACCCCTTCAGAAACTTCACCTGGCCCTCGGCTGTTTTGGGTGACTGCTTCCGTGTGCCTAAACCCTGACGGTGGCAGTGGGATGGTCCCTTTGACGGTTAGAACATGGATATATGAGGGTGTTTGAAGCTTCATTTTCCAAAGTGGCTAATGAAAATGTTATAATCACGCAGAAGATAAATTCCTTAGTTGGAAAGCTCTGTGTCCCTTACTGTATTTAAATTTAGTAATTCAGAAAGCTCCTGATACATGAGCTCATTTCTTCTGCACATGGGCAAGACTGCGTGAACCTATTTGATCTGTGACATCGAAAATTCTGTGTAAATGCATGTGAAAGTGACAAATTATGTAGGTTTCTCCAGCTGATGTTTTTCTCTTGGCTCAATATTGTTGGAGCAAAATTTGGTGACTATTATGGAAACCCCAGATTTGATTAAGGGTTACTATCAATTATTTGAAATGCATTAGTACTCGATTCAGTAAACTTTATTATTTGCCCCCAGTGTGTTGTTCAGATCTTTCAGTATAAATAAAGTTTTCTAAAATTTATTTTAGGTTTCGAAACTAACCTCAACCTGACCAGCCAGGATGATGCCAGTATATCAGAAATGGCTTCAGAGACTCAAGATAGAAATGCAAACAGCCACGGGATTCAATTTTCAAATTCACTGTCTGGTGCTATAACTGCTGAAAATGGAAATTCTCTCTCCAACGGTAAGCACTTTTACATCAGAGGTAAATGCACACAAGTTCAAAGCTGTGTCCCCCTCCCAGCAAGAACAGATTTAAATTATAAACTACCTGGAAAATAAAACATAAACTGAGAAACTCCATGAGGGGATTATGGTCAGAATGCTAGGGTGTATGTTGGGAATTAGGATTTCATTCACTATGTGGAGAATTTTCAGATTTTTTGCAATATTGCTCCATGAGAACTGGCGTACAATTAGTCATGCACTGAGAAGCAAGACGAGCTGGACATTCTTCCAACATTGTTTAATTAAAAAATATTTCCCATAACTAAGAAATGTGGAGGAAATAATACTGAAGGAATGGTAAATGCCAAACTGCTTGTAGTTTGTTTTTGTTTTTCTTTCAAGGGCATCAATGAGTATATCATTTAGAACTTAGCTTGACTGTACGTGTCCAAAACTCTGTAAATAATTATTTTCTCTTGTATATAAAAGAACTGTGGCAAAAAATATCAAACCAACCTTGCCATAAAAAGAAGTTCAAAAGAAGGAACAAGTATTTTTCTGTAGTCTGGTTAGCTGTGCTAGAGAGGCATCAGCTCTCTGGGCCACCAGGAATGAACTGCTGAGCTGCAGCAGAGTTGCCAGCACTCCAGGGACACTGGGGACTCACAGAGGGCACCCAAGGAGCTCTGGGACCCTTACCACCTTTCGGGATCACAGGGTAGGCACCCAGTCCAGGCCCGGGGGTGCAGCTGTGAAGTGTCCACCCCGAACCAGGGCACAGCCCAGCTGGGAATTACACCACCTCCGAGTTGGGCTATGGCATCCTGGAATGGCAGGGTCCCCGTGTGCTTGGGATAAACACACATAGATCTGTCCTCAGGGCAGTACCCACAGCCCAGGGTTCAAGGTATCCTCACAAACCATTTCTCCCAAACAAGGCCTTTCACACAACCAAAAATAACAAGACACATGCACACACAATCACTGCTTCTTGTCAACTACAGCAGTCAACTGTAGGACAGCCATGGTCACTGAAAAGATTGTAGATCAATGACATACAGCATAAAAGAATGTATGCTCACCCTTCCCGAACAGATAATAGACTTGTAGCAGACGTGGAGACTCCACAAATGCTACCAAATGGAAACTCTGAAATTGAAAACCAGTAATAGAATGAGACAGTTCTTTACAATGAAACAAAAACATCCAGGAAGTGGAGGACTGAAGTGGAAGGGCGAACAGGAATTCTAGAAAACGGTCCAGAGGCATGAAGAACATAGTGAGAAGGATTACTAGAATCTTAGGGAAAGAGGAGAGCACATCTGTGTAGAAAGCTGACGTGGTGAGAAGTTCCCACACTAACTAGAGAATCAAGAAGCAGAAAGAGCGCATGCCTATTATGCCAGCACTCTGGGAGCCTGAGGCAGGAGGAGTGGGAATTGGAACCCAGCCTGGAAAATTTAGCAACTTAGCGAGATCCTGTCTCAAAACAAAAAGGGCTGGGGAGATAGCTCAGTGTGAAGGCCTTGGGTTCAATTACCAGTACTGCCAGAAAAAAGAGAAGAAGGGGAGGGAAAGGAGGGAAGAAAGAAGGGAGACAAATACAAGAAAAATACACCTGAAAATAAACTTTTCAAATTACCTTAAGCTTTAAAGCTTCACATAGTGCGACTCGGCATCAAAGGCAATGGTAACACAATGCTTCAAGGACTACAGTGTCTGAAATATAGTGCCCAACGAGTAGCTATGAAGAAAACAGAGCTTGCAAATATCAGGAAACAGAGTGATTAGTCATGCGTCTGGGGCCTAAGAATCACACCTCTCAGTAACCAGTGGACTCGAGAAATCTCACAAAATAAATTGAAGGGAACACAGGGATGTCTGTGCAGGCGACAACCTGGGGCCTTGGCCAGTGTCTTCGTGAGTAGAAATGTGGGCCTCTGACGGTTGCAGCATGAGAGAAGAGAGGCTGCGCATCAGCATTAACAGTGCTACGACGCTAGACAATGAAACCGAACTCCAGTGAAGTGGAAGGAAAGCTGTAATAACATTAAGAATATAATTTATTGAAACACAGATGGGCAAAGCATCAGTTTTGTTTTTTGAGCAAAACTATCCTTGAAAACTTTTTTGGGGGCCCGGGGGATTTAGCTCAATGGTTCCGGTGCCTGCTTTGCAAGCGCAGGGACCCAAGTTGGATCTGTGGTACCAAAAAGAACCAACCAACCAACCAAACAAACCAAAAAAAACTATTCTTGAAAGCATTAATAGAACTGATGATCATTTTGCAAAAGTAAGGGGGGAAGATATCAAATGTTAGGCATAGAACAGTGACACTGGATGGGACATGCAGAAATTTAAAAATTATATTCATATTCATAGAATGTGAGAATAGTTTTTTGCCAAATATAATTGTAAATTTACTGAAAATCTTTCTCAAAAAATATAGAACTTACCAAAGTAAAGTAGGAAAGCTAAATACTGCTCCAATCATTAAATTAATTTAATGTGTAGCTGGAATACCTTCGTACAGGAAAAGTCTTCTGGTTTGTCCACTTAATTCTCCCAAAGTTCTGAGGAAGAAATAACATCAGTGCTGTACCAACATGCTGGGAGAAACAGAAGTCTGGCTGACATCAAGAGCCACTTCGTTTGTGACAGAGTTGTCTTCTAGGGTTTTGGGAGAAGAAACCATTGCTGTCCAGGTAGGGCAGGGCAGGAAGCTTCCCCTACCTCAGGATCCACACAAACGCACACCCCAAAACTCTCTTGTAGATTCTAGGTCTAAATACCAAATGCAAAATAATAAATTTCTAAAAGAAAATGTATCTCAGCAAAAGGAAAAGAAAGGGCTTCTCAGAGGACTGAATAAGGTGTGGCCAGACACAAACGGGAAGCCCTGAGCCAGGTGAAAATACTTTCTAAGACATCAACCAACATTAGGTCATAGTCGGAGAAGACCTGAATTAAAAGCAAAAGGCAGCAGAAGACAGGAACAAGAGTAACTGTGACACTGTCAGCGGGGGTCAACTGCCTTGCCAAGGGGCCAGGCACCCTGAGGAGTCACAGATGGCCAGGGAGGGATGAGCTCTGAGAACCAACTCCCACCAAGTAGGGGCAGAGATCCCCCACCCAGGAGGCAGTCAGGTCTTGGAGTGAAACTGCTGGGCTTCCTGTCCCTGATGACGCTATCTCTTAATTTGTGTGGCGGTGACAACCCCACAATGGAAAACCAAGCGAAAAATGAGAGAGGGAGGAAGGGAAGGGGCACAGAGGAGGGAACTTCCCTTCTCCAAGATGCTTCATTTTCTCTGTGTTTTCAGTGAAAAGAAAAGTTACATCTTGGGAAAATGATCCCAGAACAGTCCGTTCAGAAAGCTCAGCCTTACTCTATAAGTGAAATCAAAGCCCCAAACCAACGAAACAAACAAAAGCCCTCCAGACCAAAATGGAAATGTTTGTGGCAAACTCTCCTTGAAATTCATAGTATAAAAATCAGTCTTTGGGAACGCCAGGTCTTTGAACTTCAGTGTGCAACAAGAAGAATGTGCCCAAACGCTGGAATGCAGATTTACACATTCTTCTTTAAATGCTTACAGGGTCTGGATCTTAAAGTACAGCAGGTTCTGTGCTGTCATTCACTGATGATGACTTGAAAATCTTGAGAGTTTCGTGCACAGGTGGGAAATTACTGCAGTGCGAGGTCCCGCCTTTCACAGCACTGTGACACATTTTGTGAGCACCATGAATTTCTGGGTGCCTGGAGCTTCCCCCAGTGATTAAAATCTCCATGCCCAGGACACCGGGGTGTGAGGGCCTCCCTGACAGAACAGTGCCTCATGTCCGGAAGGAGCCGGTGAGCGCTCTGCAGAGCACAGGGGGAGGCCTGAATTTCGGCAGTGGAACAAATGTGACAGGCACTGCCCGCAGGGGTGCAGGACCAGGACGGCACCAAGGCCATCACCAGCTCACCGTGGCCTTCCTAAATGGAGACACAGGATGACCGGAAACTTGACGTTCAAGGCGAACCAGAGACTGGCCTTCCCTAGAGAACGCTCCGCTTCAGCTACCTCTGCATTCCAGAAATAATGATCTGTTTGTTCCTTTGCTGAAATGTAGTTATGTGTGGGTAATTACTGCTATCACTTACTTTAATTGCCATCCTTCCACGATGCGAACACAGACTTGGATCTTTTTTTGTGTACTTAATTATTCCCCGGACTTGTGGTTATTTATCTTCAGATTAGAGAGTGATTTTTAGTTGTTTAACTATAGCAAACAAAATATTGTGAATATACAGATGCTTATCTTGTAGAGAGATGGAGAGATAAGAATTCCCAACAAGGACATTTCATCATCTGCATGATTCCCTGTCTTGCCACTCAGCAAATGTACATTTTTATTCTCGAGCAGCAGGAAAATGATGATTAATGGAGCAGAGGCGTTGGGCCTGAGTTGCCCTTCGGCTGCAGTCCCTGGTTCCCGTGCGTGGTGTCACCCTCTTCTCCCCGCACAGGAAGGCTCACGAAGGCAAAGGGCTGTGCGGCCCTGCAGGGCTAGGAGCACTGTCCTCTGCAGGACCCTGAGCCCAGACCTCCACGGGCCAGGCCTGGAGGTAAACCCACACCGCTGCCCCACAAACTGCAGGTGGGCACCCACAGCGTGCGTAAACAAACTGTCTGCCGGCTCCATGTCCATGGGAATTGTGCTGGGTCCTTGGAAACTGTACTGCTGTCATCTGACTTCAAAGCTCGAAGGCCAGAAGAATAAGCAGCAGCCTTCCCCGGACGTGCTGGGATACTTTGCAGTTGGCTGTTTTGAGCAGTGGATGCCGACAAAGAAAGCAGCCCCAGGCACCTGTGAGCGCTGCTCCTCTTCCCCATGGGCAGCATTTTGAAGTCAGGTTAAGTCACATCTACTTTGGGCCATGCTTAATTGAATTTTCTCCGCTCTTCAGTGTTGTACCAGTTAGAAATGGATGGATTGAGGGGACAGCTTGCTGTTTTTCAGCAATGTGACGTTGTTCTTGGGGCTTAAGGAGTCCTCCCCTTGGGTCCAGTCCCCTGGTCTGACTGTTGATTGCTTAACCTCTCCGCCTTCAGTTTTCTTGTCTTAAAAAAGGATGTGATTTAAAAATCCATCTTGCAGGTTGCCCTGGGAATTTTGCATGATGGCACTGGTACAATGTTAGCACGCAGAGAATGCTACCTGCACACAGTTACAAAATCATAAAGGGTTTTAGAGTGCCAAGATCCGTGCAGATTTTTCCAGTAGAAACAGAAACCGTAGGCAATGGACAAATGAAGTAGAAGGTAATGTATTCTCTGAGACCATACAGGGAGGCAGCCTGTATGCCCACCATCAGGTAAATGAGTAAAAAAATGTGTTTACATACAATGGAGTATTACTGTGCCACGAAGAAGGATAAACTTGGGTCATTTGGAGGGAAATGGTCACACCTTGAGACCGTCATATCAAGTGACATGAATCAGAACACAAGCCTAAGTATCATGTGGTTTCTCTGATGTAAGAAACTCAACGTATCAGTAAATTAAGAGGAAACTACAAGAAGGATAACAGGAAACTGGGAGCCAGGCCTTTTATAAAAGGAAAGGAGCTGGGGAAAGAACTGAAAAAGAATGAAGAGGTGCCATGTGCAGGCGCCGGCTCTGCGTGATGGACGTAATCATCGTGTACTGCAATGGGCTGATGAAAATGAAAGCAAAAGGCAGCAGGGGTCAGCGCTGGCACCTGAGTTGGTAGGATGTCTTCCCACACCCCGAACACAGTGCTGGTCCCACTGAGCAGGAGGGGATGAGGCCCGGAGTCGGGTAACCACTCTTTAGGAACCTCTGCAGTCTTGTGTCCCAAACAAGAAGAGCACCTGAGGGCCCCTGGGTCCAGAGCCACAAAGCAAGCGAGGCCCCTAGGGCGTGGGACAGAGGGCGTGGGGCTCTGGCAGATGGCAGAGCTCAGAGGAGGCTGTTGGGCGGAGCTGTGGTTCAGAAATCGAGGGTAGATCACCATGGAAACAGTGCTGAGGACACTCGGGCTCACTCAGGACTCTGGGCACAGTCACGGGAGAGGCAGGACTTTGAGCTGAGCTGGAGGGGGCAGCTCGCAGCATCAGGACGCACTTCCAGGGTGAGGAGGGCCCGAGAGCAGGGCCACGCTGGGCAGCAAACAGAAATCACTCACGGAGAGAGACAGGGAGAGGACAAGGCCAGCAGGTGACAAGGACCAGAGTGCGGAGCCCCGTTCCTGGGAGCGCAGAGGACCAGCCAGGACGAGGGCCCTCGGCAGTGGAGAGGACCCTGACAACTGAGCTTGTGTTCAGACTGAAGCACAGGGAGACGAACTTCTAAGGTCTACCTGGTCTCCTCCACTTCAGAGGCCTTCAGTGGATGCGCAGAGCCCGATGCAGGCTTCACTTCATCGCCGAGTCAGGAAGCCCTTTAGAAATCACAGGGCGCTCTGGGGACCAGAGCCACCTGGGTGTCCTGAAGCCACTCATTTCTCTTGCTGTCCCTGGGCCAGGGCTCGTTCACCCGACTCTGTGATCAGTTCCCCTGCCAAGAGAAGAGCTCAACACCTTCCCCTCTCGCCTGGGTCCTGCCCCCATCTTCCTGTCCCCGTTGTGCAGGGTCCCAGCGGGTCCCAGGAGCGGTCTGCGCGAGGTCTGTGCTGCATGTAGCTCCGCTCCAGGGCACTCCTTCCCCTATCCCCCGAGTGCCTTCCTTGGCGCCTGGCTGCTGCTCTGAAAAGATGCTAGAGGGTGAGACACACAGTCCCCATCTAACTGGACGCTGGGCCGGGGCAGGCCGCCTTGCGGGTGTGCGAGAGGCCGCTGGCCCTGCTTACCCTGCGGTTTCCCGCGGTGCCGGTGGTAGCGCTGCACCGGTACCCAGGTGGGAGGCTGGGCTCAGGGAGTCAGCGCGGTCCGGTTAGGATGCCTGCCGCTGGCTCCCGCACAGAGTGGGGACTGGCTGGTTTCTGGGGTTTTTCAAGAAACAAGAAAACATAGGCAGAATGCGATCGAGACACAGAGAGTACCAAGTTTGGGTGGATGTGGCACTCCACTTTGTATTCTCTTTTACATTAAGCCTGAAACTTCTGTGAAAGGATGGAGTCCTTGTTGTTTTGGTAGGTAACGGAAGTTACTGCAATCTTCCGTGCACGTATTGAATTTTCCGTAATATGAACACACTCCTACCTTCTGGGCACTTAGATAATTTCTTCTTACTTTTCTATGCACATTTATTCATTTTTAAAAATCTGAGAGTGGGCCTTTTATTTTGATTTGTAGGGTGTTTTAAGAATAAGAAAGCCTTCCATTCCCTGTCTTAAACTCTCTGAGTCGTTCTTTGTAAATGTGCCTTTCATTTAATGGTATTTTCGCGCCTGTGGGATTCTGCATCTCCATGAGAAGACCCCGCCCACTTCTCCAGCAGTGCGTGCCCAATGTCCTTGTCCAGGGACACTGTCCGCTCCTCCAACCCCCGGGGCCTGCCCCGCACTCCCCCGCCCCAGGCTGGGCTGTGAAAGCTCTCGGGGAGAGGCCGGGCCCCACAGTCCCTTCCCAGGGGACGCCAGGGCTGCTGTCCCTCTCCACTCCAGCGCTTCCTGAAGCCCCTTCTGAGCTGCTCCGTTGCGTTTCTTCGTTAGTATTTCCTCTCTTCCACCAGCGCACTTCCTCCTCCGCTCCATGGAGCCATGACAATACTTTGTATTTCCTTCTTCTGTTGTGAACTTAACATTCAATTAGTGTTCACTGGTGTTTCCACCCGCGAAACACAGCAGTGCTCGCTACTGCGGTCGGGAGGAAGGTTATGCACCAGGCAGAGTCGGCCCACCTTGACCCTGCTGTGTGCACCCCTAGGTCTCGCTGAGGAGGACGGGTACTCGCGGGTGTGTGTGAGCGGCACAGGGACCTCGACGTTCCAGAGACACCGGGAGAGTCACAGCACTCAGGTAAGGGCCGCGTCCGCCGCTTGGGCTGTGGCTGACGTCCAGAGCTGTGAGGGGTCTCCTTCCTCGTCTGGAGCACATGGCTGTTCCCATGCTGCCTGAGGTCCTCCAACTCAGTGTCCTTCCCCGCTGGCTCCACTTCTGCTTGTTTCAAAAAGATAATAGCCAGCACAACTAAAAATTAACAGATGCTCCATACTGCTTACCGCACACAACGTATATGTCATGGTTTCGAGTTGCTCTCGGTGGCAGTGGTGATATAAAGCCCACTGGGGATATTCATGTGTTTTCTGCTGTTGACTTTGGCTGAGAAAGAAGAGTGGAAGTGACCACAACAGTGAAATAAACCTTGCAGTGCCCTGCAGCTACTGTGGAGTCTCTGTCAGCACCTCCGAGTTCCTTGCACCTTCATTTCATTTCAGAGAGAGCCGGTGCAGGGAGCGCTCAGGTCAAATGAGGGCGTAGGTCGCAGAATCTTCCCGTGTGTGTAGACGTGGTGTCGAACTCACTGTGCTTATTTAGCCTCTGACATTTCACCAAGGTAAAGGAGATTATTCAAGACAAAAAATGACGTTGGTGGTTATGGTTCCTATCTAGATGTCCCTCCGAGCCTGACTGGGTTGAGAGGTGCTATCTTTCTGGGCTCATGAGTTCACAGGGAGGAGGTGAGTCCATTTGGAAGAGGGGACCACTGGGAGTCTGACCCAGAAGGGTCTTTCCCTCCCCAGCTCCTCCCTCCATGTCCACTTCCGGCTGTCATGAGGTGAGCAGCTGTCCTCCGCCTGGCCCCCAACCAGGCTCTCTGCTGGGCCAGGCCACTCATGCCCGACCTGAAACTTCTAAACTGTGGGCAAAGTAGACTCCTCCTCCTTTGAGCTGTGGGCCTTGGGTATTCTGTCCCCAGGAAGAGAAACTCATTAATGCACTAGGAAACTCACTAATGCAGTAGCTTTTTCATAGAAAGAGTAAGAATTTCTGTAATCGAATTTTGTGCTCTTTTCTTTGTGTGCTGTATTTTTTATTTCATTAGTACATGTGTGTAGTACAAGAAGGCTACATTCGTCGTGGGGAGTGGGGACATGTACATAACACAGCTTGCTTCTTCTTTAATCCCCTCTGTACCCACCTCCCTCCCTCAGTCTCTAAATCCCTTTTCCATTCTTCCTATTATTTTGAGTTCCTGTTGATGAACATAAGTCTGCATTCATCATGGGTATTGGTCCATGTAAGCACGTCAATCTGATACTTCCCTTTCCTCTCCCCACCTCCCCTCACCCTTATTCTCCTGGACCCCTTTCCATTTGCGAAAGATCTCTCTCCTTGTTTCCTTCTATCATTGCTGTTATTTTTTTAAAATGCTCTTTTAATTACCTTCTAAAAGCATAATATGCCTCATTCTAGGAGGTGCACAAACCAACAGTTATACACACTTTATTGTCAGTACATTAAAATGTTATTGCTTTGGTGACAAAGTTCTTATATAGCATTAGAGTACAATTTTATTATGTCATACATCGGCATGAAAATACCTTTAAAATTCAGCCATAGATGCAGGTGCTTGTACAAAATCAACTCACCAGCGTGTGATAGCTTCCACTGAAATATCTGGAATTATGTCAGTGTGGCCACATTATCAGCTGAGGTTTTTCTAAATAACATTGATGAGGTAGTGAGAAAAATCAATAATTTAAACCTTAACAATAAATCTTACAGAAGGCAATCTGCTGAAGTCACTGGCACTGATACGTTGGCACAGAAAGAGGAGGAAAGTGCCCATTGGTGTAATGACAGATCACCCCATCTCCTGTCTGTCGCACGGGGATGCAGCTCCTATATCTGGTCAGCACTACAGGCACTTGGGCTGCTGCTGGTCCAGGGGAACCTCCTTGTAGCCAACCCTGGTCTGGGGATGCCATAGAGGGGGATTCCCTGCTTCTGAGCACAAGGGCAGCCCCCTGGCTCCCTCTGCCGCTGCTCTGTGGCTCACAGGGAGAGGGGCCATTGAGAAAGAGGGTTATAAAACAGGCATCTCTGGAACCGCTTATGGATTTGTCTGAGAAGGAAGGAGAGAAGGGAGAAGCCACCAGGAATCATTCCCATTTCCGGTGTCCCAGGGGGACTTGTTTTCAAACACAGACATCCCCGAGGAAGCAGAAGTCACTTTATAGTACTTTTCTCCCCCAAGGAAATGGTAAACCATGCTCCTTTTCTCCCATGCAAGTTGTGGGTGCTCAAAAGCTGGGGCAGATTCCCTCACCCTAGAAGCTGAGCTCTGTGGCACTGCTGTGCTGGTCACACGTCTCCCAGGATTGGCCCCTGATGTGACTCTGTGGGCGGTGCGGACACGGAAAGGCAGGCTGCACTCTGGACCCCTCCAATACACATAGCACAGCAGCGATTCTGTGAAATTGGCCCTGGGCCCGGGGCATGGCTGGCTTCTCGCAGGGAAATCAAATACTGCTTGAGCCAGAAGCGAAATCCCTCTCAAGAATGTCTTTGTCTTAATTACCATCATGGGTGATTTAATGATATCCCTTTACCGGAGATAAAATGTCTGGGCATTCTCATAGATAAAGAAAAGTGGGAGAGCCAGAGGGGCTGGCTGGGATCATGTGGGAAGTGTGCCAAGTTGGGCTGGAGTAGACGGCACCACCAAGACCACGCATTCTGCTCCTGACCCAAGCTCACTGCAGCCCATTGACAGGTGTGGAGGAGCCATAACAGTTAAGGAATTTTTGGTTCAAAGATAAGATAAAAGTCTCAAGTAGCCTTAAGCAGTAGACACTTGTAATTTGTTTTTGTTGGCGTCTGGTCTGGCTTTGAAATTCTTTGCCCACCACAGTGAACGTGAAGGGGAAGAGTTCCTCCCCGCTCCTCCCTCCTCTCCTCTGACAGCTCCCCAGCCTCCGCGGGGCTCCGTGGGTCTGTTTATCATGTGTGTGGAGTGAGGGCCGTAAAATGCAAGGATGCAAAGAATCCCCCATGGCCCTTGGGAGACCTCTACGGCATCCCTCTGGGTTTTCTTCAACCTCTGGGTTCTTCCCCCAGTGGAGCAGAGTTTCCAAGAAGGAGCGCTGCCCACCCCATCTCCAGACTGTTCCCTCTTCTGGCCATAAATCTTTGCCTCCCAGGAAACCCACTCCACCCCTAGCTAGCGACGCCCAGAGTACACTGCTGCTGCTGCTTGCAAATAAGAATTTTGACTGACACACCAACTTAATTGCTGTCATCCATAAAATCCATTTTACATCCGCAAGTGTGGTTTTTTACACTAAGTCCACAACAAGCTCTTTATTGGTTCTTAATACAGATGCCAAATCCTTTCTAATAGAGACACAGCCTAAGATACAAAATATAGAAAATGTGGTTTATGTTGTGCTCCATCATAATTATTTATTAACTTGCAAATATAATGGCTTTACATAAAAGGAGTAAAAGTTAATTTCACTGAAATTAGCAGAGCACAGTGAAAGCTGTGACACTGGCTCTATCTTGAAAGTAGCCACGTTGACTGACACCTCCCTCACACAGAAGCTCGGTTTGTACACCCTGGGGTCCTGGGGTGAATGGACAGAGAGGACGGGACAGCTTGGGCTCTGCACCCTGGCCCCAGGGGGGAGGTTGGTGGACTCGAACTTGGAGTTTCGCAGCTTAGGGGAGTTTGGCGTTAGCATTTACACCAGGGACACCGCCTTCCCCGTGTAGGTCTTAGGAGACTCGAATGGTTTCCTCGAAGCTGTGTGCCGGGCAGGGCGCGGCCCCCAGACTTCGGGGAGGAAAGGCACAGCCAGCCCTGGAGTGCTGCTGTCTGCCAGCGGGCATCACCGAGAGCTGCTGAGCCCCACCCCGCACGCTGGGCCCCTGGTGGGCGTGGGGTGCAGACAGCACGCAGCGGAAGGCGAACAAAGAGGAGCAGAGCACGCACGCTGGCGGGGGCACTGCGGCAGGCTCGCCCGCTCAGGGCTCGTCGCTGGCCACCGGGAAGGAAGATGGCTCCTTTCTCTTTACTTGGTCTTTCAACCTTACCCACTCTCTTTGCACTCTTTTATTCCTCCTAGCTGCCTGCTTCCACAATAATATTATGAATTTTCATTTTCATTATGGCCATTTATTCTATTTCTTACCAAAAACCATTTCTTTGGGTTTTTCTAAAGAACAGAAATTATCCAGGTTTGGCAGTACATGCACTTCTAGAAGGCTGAGGCAGGAGGATTTGCAAGTTAGCATTTGGTCCTAACAACTCAGCAAGACCCTGTCAACCCTTAGTCACACACACACACACACACACACACACACACACACACACACACACACAAACGCACGCCCACGCACGTGCATGCCAGACCTCATGAACATTGGTCATATCCAAATATTCATCTTAACAAATCATTGACAGTCCTTGATAAAGTAGAGGTAGTGGCCCAGTGCCCAAGACTTTAATAAATCTCAAGCCTGCTCTGACACAGCTGCCAATGAAACCCAGAATATAATCAGCATGCAACTGATCCTTATCAGGAAGTAAACTGTTAGGTGGTTTGTTTTAATGAACCTTGGAGGAAACCATTTTGCGATGCCGTATATCAGCAGAGCCAAGTTCTCCAAAGTACCAAGCCCCTCCCATACCGGCTTTCTATGTTCATTTTATTTTTCCTATGGATTGTTAGAAATTGTCATGTAGCACAGAATCAAAACCAGCCCTGTTAGATGGAATAAGGAAATGCAGACGCTTAGTGTAATCATTAAGAAAGATTCTAAAGCGCATGCCAGGAAACAGAGTTAGACAGTCTTTCCAAAAGGATCTCTCCATCTGTCTGTCTGTGATACAGTCAGGGGGAGACCGAGCAAGAAGGCACTTTCAGAGAATCAGTATTCACTGCGTGACTCGCGGGTTCTGGGCAGGAAATGAAGACAGTAAATTAACTTGATGGCGCACAGGAAGCACAGCGTTCTCCGCAGGGAAAGGGCGCGAAGTGCGGAAAATAAGAAAACCCTGTGTTTTGTGT